TGCTAGACGCAATCGTCAGGCCGCTTCCAATTTTCAGTTTTATATATATATATATATATGCTCTATAGCTGATATTGTGCACTTTATCCATAAATAGAGTATACCTTATATATATATATATATATATATATATATATATATATATATATATATATATATATTAAGTCATGTTTTATGTTTATACGTTCTTTTATAGGCACAAAGATTTAAGTAAATGCTCTGTTTATAATAAACAGTATTAACAACATTTACTGGCCTCAAAGTCCGAGAAATTGTCATAGAAATATGCGTCCTACGCCAGGAATCGAACCTGTATCCTATACGGAACCGTCATGTAGCCTTTCGTGCTTTTCGGTTAGCAAGCTTGATTTTACTGTTTTTAAACTACAATTCCCCATGATTTTCTCTCATACATTCATATCTGCTCGATGCGTATCCAAATGTAAACAAATGACGTCGCATATTATGAAATGGACAAAGCGCGGCAATTATTTTAAGACATTTTATGTTTATATATTATGATATATAAAATATTATTATAAAACACACACACACACACACACACACACACACACATATATATATATATATATATATATATATATATATATATATATATATATATTAGTAAAATAAAATAATTCACTTATATGGATCTGTAGTCGAAGTTTAATAGATTTTTTACATGCAGTCATCGGGTTTAAACCGAAAATCCTATTGCGTAGGGAAACTCACAGTCAACATGCAGTGTTGATTCCTATATGTACAATGTTTCTATAGACGCGCTTGATCCTATGCTGAACACTCTAAATTTTAGATAATTTTAAACAATATATATATATATATATATATATATATAGGGTGCGATGGATGATTATTGTCTTAATTACGCAAAAATTAAAATAATGTTGACATCTCATTTTAACAAATATATTTACCAAAATTACACAAAATTATCTTGAAATTCGAAAGATTAAACTTATTCAATAAAATCGCCATTGGCTTCAACCACGGCCTCCTGACGATTTCGGAATCTCGTTTAATTCTTCTGGACTGTCTCCATATTTAAGTTGGGGAATACTGCCATAATGCTTGCCATCAATTCATCTTTGCTGTTACAAGTAGTTTGTTTCGTCTCTTACTCAGCTGCTACCCACATATCATAATCAATGCGGTTGCAGTCTAGGGAGTTAGGTGGCCAGATGTAAGGGGTGATGTGGTCACAGAAATTGTCTGACAAACTTGATTGGGTTCTCCTGCTTGTGTGATGAAGTGTCCTGTTACCAGATATAGAGGTTACCAGCTGCCACCCTGTTGAATCAGAGCAGCACTACCTCCTCAAGGCATTTGATGTGGAGTGTGAGGCCCTGTGCGAAGATGAATAACGTCGCCATCAGTAGGGATCACTCCAAACACCTTCGTAATCACCATTAGACTTACCTAAATCTTTCTGAATCCTCAGATTAACACCCAGTCACTTTGAAAGTTTCGTATTAGAACTTCCGGTGCGAATGCCAAACAGTAGAACATGTCACTTCCAAATATCTGCCGGAGTGAATAGGGTCATGGTGATCTTTTTCTCACAGAGGTTGCCCAAATGACCTTACTATACCGTGTGGTCGACGAAATCAAAAACTACATGCATACGCGAAATTAAGTATATAAAATGGCGACAACTTACCCATCGCACCCTGTGTATGTCTATATATATATATATATATATATATATATATATATATATATATATATATATATAAATGATGGTACTCTTTAGGGAAAACCTCGGATAGCTCAAATTGCAGTAGAACAAATCGGTACCCGAGGAAAAATGTGGAATAAAAAAAGAAAGAACCAAGAACATTAAAACAAGGCGAAAACAATTGTCCAGTGTTTAAGATCCAAATCCAACGAAAAAAAAAAACACTAAACGAGTAAAGGCAAGTACGTAAAGTGCTCAATACATTAAGTAGAGCAAAACTTAAGATAATCCTAAGGAGCCAGGCAAACCTATCTAGGTTTCACCTAAACGGATATTCAGGGTGAAGCCGGTTTACCTTGATTATCTTATATATATATATATATATATATATATATATATATATATGTGTGTGTGTGTGTGTGTGTGTGTGTGTGTGTGTGTGTGTGTGTGTAAAAATATATAGAAAATAGGAAAGAACTCGTTAGGTAAATAATCCAAAGTTCTTTAGCATTTTTGTTATTATTTTTAAAAAATTGTGCTCAATACAAAAGTAGAGCCTAAATATAATTATTTAATTAAAAAATATGATTCTATCGCTACATAAGAGTTCTCATGTTTCAAAACAAGAACCGAAAACTTCGATATAATTATTTGAATTAAATTGAATTAAAGTACCATCTTCAAGCGAATTTTTTTTTTTTTTGAATAATAAATTCCTGAAATTTACGCGTTTTATAAGCATATTCATTATTAAAATTAAAATTACTATGGTAACGGCTAGAGCAATTATTTAAAAAAAGGGGCGTAAGGGTTAATAATTTGTATCAATATCTCAGTTACGTTCAAAGAGGTCAACTCAGGGTAAGTTTGGGGTGTCTAAATTCAAAGCGGAAGATGACAACGTCTAGCCTGGTTAAGTGTCTATGGAGATTTATTTATTTTTTTATTTTACATGTATATATATATATATATATATATATATATATATATATCATATGTAACAACAAAATTGTCCATCTCACAAAATGTTTAATATTTATAAATGTACAAAACTAATTGATTTTCTTTTTTCCAGGTTTTCAGCTAAGACGTTTAGCAATCTTAACAGAATTTGTCGTAAGAATCACTGAAAACCCTTTGAGTTATTCATCTATAAAGAGAATAGGTTAAAATTGTTTTGTGCCATCCCTACTGTCGCTCCAAATTAGCAAAAATATCCTACAGGCCTTCAGTAATTGTACCAACATTCATACTCTGGCTTCCATCTTCAAAGTCCATTCAAGAACCATCAAGAGAAACGGTGAATATGTTTAAAAAGGATGGAACAATAGAGAGGAGAACTGGATCAGGTGGCCACAACAGGAAGAGGGATCTTAATTTAAACCTTGAGCTGAAGAGATCCATTAGAAAAGATCCAACTCAATCCAGAAGACGTTTGGCACGTGAGAGAGGTGTTACAGCTATGACAGTCCAAAGAGCAATGAGAAAAGACTTGAAAATGAAATCGTACGTGAAACTTGTGAGGCACCTTGTTACTACAGGACAGAAAGTTAGATGGTTAGAGAGAGCGAAGACCACCTTGATTAAGTTCGAAAATGATCCCGAAATGATATATATTTGAACTTTATTTCAATCCTTCATGAGCGTCTGATCTTTAGCTATGATTAATTAATGATGAATATGTCATTTTCGTTTTTGATTGATTTCATCACGATTCTTCTGTTAAGCTTGGAGAGTAATTATACATTCTTATTGAGTCAATGTAGAGTGCAATAGTGTTATGAAAACCTCAGAGAATTACAGTAAGATAACTTTAATCATTTCTAAGAAACAACGGTTCAAACTTAATCTAGCAAATGGACAATTTGCTGTTTATATATATATATATATATATATATATATATATATATATATATATATATATAATATTTTATTTGCTGTTATATATATATATATAATATTTTTATCCTCCTTAGGTCTACCCATACGGATTACGTAGTTTTTCATAATATATATATATATATATATATATATATATATATATATATATATATATATATAATATAATATAATATATATATATATATTATATATATATATATTATTCTTATACGCTATTTATATAGACACAGATATTTAAGTAAATGCTCTGTTTATAATAAACAGTATTAACAACATTTATAATAAACAGTATTGACAACATTTGCCTGAACAAAAATATGCGTCTTCCGATAGGAACCGAACCTGTATCCTACAGGGAACCATCATATAGCCTGACGTGCTATATTAGTTTTGCTACGAAGGAGCGCCTGGTTAACAAGGTTGATTTTAGTGCTTTTAAACTACAAACTTCCCATGATATCCCTTGAACGTCCATATCTGCTCGAAGCATAACTTAACGTAGACAAAGAACGTCACACACTATGAAATGGAGAAATCCGACAATTATTTTAATATATTTCATTGTTATACGTTATTTATATAGACTCAAATATTTAAGTAAATGCTCTGTTTATAATAAACTATTGATTAGTGTGAGAAAAGAAACTGATAGCATAGAACACACGATTCAAACTTGTCATTTCAGCTGTAAAATAATGATACTTTGTCGCTCATCTGGTACTGCGATTAAATTCAGGAAATTCAGATTCTATACTGAAGCTTTCATCCGGGCAGTCACCATAGAAGTATTTATAGGAAAGAGAAGCTATATTACGGCGGTGGGAAAGTGAATGAAACCGAGATGCCAGGTCAGGATCAATAATATTGCTGATTCTTTCTTTGGATTTTATTATGAATCTCTAAATGCAAAGTAATAGCACCAGGCCATAAGTGCGTGCCAACAGTATTCAAAGCAACGAAAGAAATAAAACAGGCCGATTATAATTTTAAATCGTTTGAAACGCTGAGGATTATGTGGCTCTTAACTTTAAATTTGAATTTAAACTTTTTAACGTCCAGTGAATGAAGATCCATAGACTAGTCGACCTCATTATGCTATCTATCACTATTGTTTTTGTTTTTATCACTTTTGTTTCTAAATAATCGATATTGTAATAGCAGTAGTTTTTATTGATTGATTTTCTACGGTCTATCACTCCTCTGCACATTATTTAAAGCCAGGAATAATTTAAAATTATAAGAATATATTTTTTGAGATCATAATGATTTTGATACAAGACTTACTAATTAACCCATAGCTAAGGGGAGAAGAGCTGAATTCGTACATTTCTCAGGGTTATTTGCGCGTGATTAATAATTCCGAGCCATAATCCAATAAACCACCCACATATTCAATTGGACAACATCTGTTATTTCACAAGCAGTCACCCATCCAGTTACTGACCAGGCTCGACGTTGCTTAACTTTGGTGATTGTACGGGGACCGGTGTTTTAATGCGATGTGGCCGTAAGCCTTTGGCTGTGCATGTTGCTAGAAAGGAGGTAGAAGTACGGACCCGGATGGAGCTGGTCTACAGGTATTGCCAGAAAATACATAAAAGCCATTTTGACTGCAGTAGTTATTAAAATTCGAATTCTAGTCGATTCCATTAGATTTACTTACTTGCTAATGCCCTTGGGAAAGGTATGAATCCTTCTCATCTCCTCCCAGTTATGGGTAAATAGCAGGACAGACCGGGTTCTATAGCCTTGGATAGCAACTGGTCTACCGCAGATAGAAATGGCCACCCACTGCGGGAAAAAATCTGCCTCGTCAATTATGAATCGAAAGATACATGATCGCCAAAGCGTGTATCCCGCATAGCACATAACTGACTGACTGACTTTCAAGTTGAATCCATTACATTCACATGTGCTAATACCCTTGGGAAAGGTATAAATCTTCTTCTTCTTCTTCTTCTTCTTCTTCCAGCTATGGGTAAATAGCAGGACAGACAGGACAAAACCTTGGATGTCAACTGGTCTATCGCAGAAAGAAATGGCAACCTACTTCGGGGAAAAAATCTTCCTCGTCAGTCAAGTATCGAAAGATATATGATCGCCTAAACGTGTATCACGTCTGGCACATTAACTGACTGAGTTATTAAAGAGTTCATAAACATTAACAGCTGTAGTTGTTACAGGAAAGGAGTTGTGAATTTTTTTAGATGCACTTAGCTGTCAGAAACGAAGGATTGTCATGTTGGCTTAAAGAATTGTCAGAAAAAGTTAGAAATTACTGACCAGGGTCAACGTTTCTGATTGTACTGGACCCGCTGTTTCAACGTGATATGGTCGTATATCTGTTAAGAAGGGAGATATGTTATATGATCTTGCATGTTTATTTGCCGTGGAGGGTTCAGGGATTAATACACTTTCTATAAATGTCCCTTAATAATTGCCTTTCTCTGGAAAGATTTTTTGTGAGCGTACACATATCTATAAAATGTCTCCAGTTCATTGGCCAAGTTCACCTACAATATATCTTAAAAAAAACAAACAATGAATCCAGGTTAATTTCAGATAACTACAGAAATAAGTACACTGCAATGTAAATTTACCTATTTCCGGAAAATGGAGGAAGGCCGTACTACAATGTCTGGCACTGCTGTCTGCACCCAACAACCCGAGTTTGTGGCAACGAGCCAAAAAACAGGATGTAAACAAGGTTAAAAAAAAAAAGATCATTCACCTCATGAAATTGTTTTGTTTGCGTATTTTAATATAGTCATTTTGGACACATTGTTTCTTCAGAACAGTCGGATCGTAAGTCTCTATACTTTTCTCGGTAGCCTTTATTTTATATATATATATATATATATATATATGAAGAAATATAGTCTTAAGGAGTGCTATATTTATGGGATAAAGTGCTCAATATCAGAGATAGAGCGTGTGAATATAAAGTGAACATAGAAGTCTTAGAGGCGACAGTCTTTTCACTATATGCAATCGTCGAGGCCACGTGTATGAAAAGACTGACGATCTAAGTGTTGACTTCTATGTTATTTTATATATATATATATATATATATATATATATATATATATATATATATATAGTTGTGCTTGTTTATATAGCTGAGCTAGCACGAAGTTACAAGTCATCGTTACCGAGGTTTGCTGGCCTTGATCAGATAGTTGATCCTGCTAGATAACACACTGTCTCCCAGAAACTGTAACTAAGGTCTGCTCAGCATAGTTGCAGTATAAACCAGAGATTAGCTCTGTTGGTGCTGAACAAAAACGCCTGAGCTTGCGTCTGCAATAGGGATTGGCTAGCTGCCCTAATAGATGAGTATCCTCGAATACGTTGGCCAGCTATTATATATATATATATATATATATATATATATATATATATATATATATATATATATAAAAAAATCCTAACGAGCCAGGTAAACCTACCTAGGTTTCATGTAAACGGATCTTCAGGGTAAAACTGACTAAAAAGGCAAATGATGGAACAATATTCATTGGGTCAATAAGTATTGTTCCATTATTTGCTTTTTTAGCCCGTTTTACCCTGAAGATCCATTTACGTGAAACCCATGTAGGTTTGCCTGGCTCCTTAGAATTATTTTAGTTTTTGCTCTACTTAGTGTATTGAAATCTTTACGTTTAGTCTTTTACTCGTTTTGGGGTTTTTTTAGGGGGGCACTTGAGAGGATTCGTATAGTGTTATGTGCTTGGTTCTTTCTTTTTTTATTTCCATTTTTTTCTCGGACATCAATTTGTTATATTACAAGTTGAGCTAACCAAGGTTTTTCAAACGAGTATTAGCATTCATATATATATATATATATATATATATATATATATATATATATATATATATATATATATCAACCATGAACACACCCACCATTGGCTGAACGTGTTTGAAAAAATAAAATATATATTAAAAAAATACACCTTTTGATACATACATAAAAATTCTTGGTACATTCATTTAAAAATAAAAATCATACTCGATAATGTTTAAATGAATAGCCAAAAGCTCTCGGATATATTGAACATTTGGGCATTTACACACTTGCGTGCTACTAGATTGGCATCTAGGTCCCACCCATTTACTTGCTTCCCTGATATCTAAAATCTTCACAAATTTAAATGCAATGTCAATCGCCATCTGCTTGAATCCCTTTCATCTTTTATCCTTTCTCTCACTTTCACTCTCTGTAACTCCCAGCGTACTGGTGGTATTCGCGCCTTGCTTGCAGTGAAATGATTAAAAAAAACAAACTTTATATTCAGAAAAGAAGACACTAATACGAAAACAAGAAATATTAAATAAATATCTGTTAAAGCCCTCAAAACCTTAGATATTCGAATTGCAATGGAGTGGACGTAACTGTCAAAAATGAACTTCATCTAATACAGGGCAACAAAAAAATGGTTTCATAAAAAGAAGATAATCGTAGTTGACAGGAAGACAGGAAGTCGGAAGACAGGAAGTCAGAAGACAGGAAGTCAGAAGACAGGAAGTCAGGAAGTTCCACAAGCGAGAAGTGCGAGTAAATATACTACTAGCATAGAAGTTGCGTTTACAAGTAGCAATTTCAAAAGTGAAAATGATGGGACCTAGCTTCTAGTGTTATCTATATTATGAGTATCCCAACGCTTCCAGATAATAATGTAGATGCATTGCCAATGGGTTTTTTTATAGGAATGAATTGAAAATCATGAAGTGGTCAGGAATTAATTCAATCATAACTGATAGAATAGGGCTATTAGATGTAGAAAGTACAAGCATTGCTAATGATTTTACTATACAAATACATTGAAAATAATTTTGCAATAGTCCTCAGTAATGAATGCCTAATATATTATTTTATTATTTTATTTTCGACTATATCAGAGCTGGCTATTGGTTTTGAGACAGTAGAGCTTCAGTCTACTCACCAATAACTCGTGTTATATTTTTATTTTTTATTTTTTTGCTGCAGATAGCAATCTGGTAAAATGACGTCAGATATGACAGTGCATTGAATTTGTCTGAATTTCCCCGTGCTGAAAAACTTACTCTCTTTGACATTCATCGCTGCTTGAACAACGTTTACGAAGACCAAATGATGGATACGAGAAACGTAAGACAATAAGCATTGTATATATATACACTATTGGAATATTAAAATGTCTTTACCCGAAATTAGTTTTACTTCTTTTCGGCACCTAAACGCCATATTGTCCTTTGAGAATCGGGAAAGAATTTATTGTCAGTGGATTTTTCTTGGTAATTGTTCTGATGAGTATTTCTCTTTGTTACCTTGACTTTGTGAATTTAAACGTAGTACTAAATTAACAGCTCGGTCTCATCATTGTTCTTTTGAAACGTAACCATAAGTTCGATTCTAATAGTCTCTTCCTCTCTCTAACTTCTCGCCTTCTTTTGTGCTATGATCTCCAGAAATTTCAATGCAGTGTCAATCGTCATTTTATGTCTCTGAATCGGCTTACTGCTACATCATATTGAAAAAACGGTCCCCGTAAGAACAACGAAGTTAAGCAACGTCAAGCCTTGCTAGTACCTAGATGGGTGACCGCTTGGGGATACCAGCTGCTGTAAACTTGGATGTGCATGAGGGGGTATTTTAGCTCCGATGTACGAGATGGTGGGAAAAATAGAGCAAGTTATACATTCGTCCATGCATTGAATATTGCTGTCACATCTGGTCTGGTGATAATGGCTCAGAATTGTTAATCGGAGAGCCGAGTTCGAATTCCAGTTGGAATGTGTTCACTCATGCGCAAATACCCTTGGGACAAATTATTAATCCATCTCTTCTCCCCCCCCCCAGATATGGCTGGCTTTACATAACCTGCAAGTGGTTGATAAGACGTAACAAACGAACGAATAAATCAATCTCCTTGATCCCTGTTCCTTTATTGTCTTCTCTTCTCAGTAATGTTTTTCTCAATTTCTTTTCACGCTCAGTAACTCCTTGGTTTTTAGAGTTTTTATAGTCTTTGCTTAGGATGAAATGCTTTACAAAATAATCTTAAGCGGAAAACATGAAAATACCTTTTATTGTAAGTGAAGTGTTTTTGTCAATTGCTCAGCGGTCACGTTTCCGGGTTTATTTAAAAGAGAGCAAAAGACCAAATACATTTTTCATAGAAAGCCAATTTTTCTAGTTTAAAGTTGATGACTCACCGTCATTCAGAATATGAATCACGCCACAGTGTAAGTAAGTTGCAGTAGATAAATGAAATTAATCTCTGAACTGTAGACAAATCCTGACGATGTAAATCGCTGTGATACTCTTCACTGGAGTTGGGGGTTGGAAAAGGCTTACACACGCCGATATGAAGCGAGCCTAACGTAACCTAGAAACAAGAGAAAGACAAATAATGTTACAATGACATTTATTTCGTTCGGGAACTGACATCTGCCTACTGATTATAATAAAAAGTACAAAACATCTACATAAGCAGAGAAAATGTGGACACCTGAAAGTGGCGTAATAGTTTGCATTCTTGTCTCGCTAGAAAAATTAAGACTGAATTGTGAGTTCGCTCCTCACAGGGTTCCCCATACTTTCGTCCATGTTCAACGGCTAAGCTAAGCATTGAAAATCAGCATAATCATAGGTGTTTCATTATGTTCGCATTTGTTGATCGCAGTTAGATAAACTGAAAAAAATCCATGGAATTTCCAGGAGACTAGACATTAAGAAGAGTGTGACTTGCGTTTTGTTAAGGCCCTAACTTATATAAAACTTGGGAGTTCATTTTCTAAAAGAAAACAAACTCAAAACTACGTCATAATATTAAATACACCCCCTGGAAAATAAAATGAATTTGTAGGGCTCTAAGCGTTAAAATGTTTATCTTATACCAAAATGTGATACTAATTAGGTCCGATGTAGGGAGTGAGAGAACAAACTAGAGCAGGTAATCCATTCGTCTATGTATTGAATGTTTTTGCCACATATGGTTTGATGCTTCTGTTATTTATTTAGAGAACCTTGATAAAATCTAAAGAAGAATGTTATTGGTCCTGACATGTCGTCTCGGTTTCAATCCCTTCCTACTGCCGTAATGTGGCTTCCATATGCCTTTTCCATAAATATTTTTATCGTATTTGTTCTAACGAAATTTCCGCTATATTAACTCGACTTTAAATTTAAGCGCAGTACAAGATTGGCACTTAGGTCTCATCATTTTATACTTTACATGACTTGATGTAATTCTGTTATTGAAGGATTGTCTTTTTCTGATATAAGACCGTAAAATGCGCAAAATAGCAGTTCGGTTGCAACAGTGCAGAGGCCAAGCGCTACGATGTTCGTTCGAGCTATCCTTTGCCAGATGCAATAAGACAAGCAACTCACGTAAAGGGGGGGGTAGCTGATTGATCTTTGACCTCCCTTCTCTCCCCCCCACCACTCTAATCTTCAAGTTAGCCCGTGTTTTTAAAAATCATCATCATAACGGAATGCTGATTTTATCGCAGTTACAATAAGTTTGTCTTTGTAATTGACCCCTGAAGATGATCTTGGAAAAGGTCGAAAGTACTTGAGTTAGAAAAAACTGCGGCAGCGACCTTGATGAATTTCATCTTAACATCAAGAGACTCATTGGAGAACTGTAAAGGATCAGTATAAAAATAAACACAATATGTCTACATTATTCAATGAAAATATATATATATATATATATATATATATATATATATATATATATATATATATGGGAGGGCTCGTGTCACTGAGGACGTGAGATGGTTAAACATTAATTCTTAGCAGAAGGAAAGGCGTTAAGCCCAAAATGGAATGCAAGCTAGAATATAAACAGATAAATAGAGAAAGAGAGAGGAGACATTTTCTTTGGCGTGAATGGAACCGTCTGGATTTCTTATCTATCGAGAGTCTAACATGCTGACGAAAGCAAATAGGGGAATGGCTTTATCTCTTCTTGGGAAATTAGAAAAATACGTCATTGATGAAAAGAGGAGCAGACGATAATTATATTTTCGTTAGCAAAAACAAATTTAAAGATCAAAACAGAGAACGAACCCTTTTTCTTATGGTTGAAGTTACGAAGATCAATTATGTCGTGCTAGGGAGGTGATCTGGTTTGTGCTTTCGTTGAGACAGCGATCAACCACGGATGGAAAACAGTTTTGTCTTTTGTTTGAGAATTTAGTTAAACATATTTTCATTGACGAAAACAGATTGGGAAATAATTTTTTATCTATCGTTCGGAAAGTTGATTAAGAAAGAAACAAAGAAAATCTTTATTTGAATTAATGGAAATCGGGGAATCACCAATTTCACAGAATCCTTCGGCCTCACGCTAGTTTTGGTCCGATGTGCATATAAGCAGATGACTTTGAGATCCCAGAGACTTGGGAAGAGAAACCGAATCGAGGACCTCTGAAACCTACGTCATCTGCTACCAAATTCCAAGATTTGAACCCAGAAATTTAGACAAGGCCCAGTGTCAATGTAGAGATTCATGCGGGATGTGTTATTTATTGTTGTGCTAGGAGCTATATAAATCAATTCAAGATTAACCTCACTAATCTATTTTGTTTTCTTTAATATGGCACCCGTCATGGCTTGAACCAGCGTTGCCATTACAGCATCCATCGATATTTCACTGCTCTGAGATCAAGAATACAACGTGGGAAGAGTCGGTGTGTATCGAAGCGGCCAGTAACCAACCAACAACCAGCTTAGACCTGCGTCTGCATTGACCAGCGTAGAGTTAGCCCGTGGTTAAAACGATGTCCTAAGACACTGAAGATAGCACAACTAAACGTGGTTACCCCACCAGGTGTAGGCTGTGGCGAAAGGTGTTACATTTTTTGGTGTCCGTAACCAAGGATGTGACTCTGTTACAAAGGGGTGTTGTATATAGGGTGTTTCAAAAATACTTTTACAAACTTCGTGCCGGGTTCATCACATCAAAACAAGGACACAAGTCCATATAGATATATGTCCACACACACACAGCTATATATATATATATATATATATATATATATATATATATATATATATAATTATTATTTTAAAAAAAGTATAACATAAATATGTTATAAAATCACTACAAAAATAGCCATTTTGTTTCAACACCCTCGGTGTCTTATCAAGTGATGATGTTGAAGATAAAATAAATGGTTTTAAAAGTTTCAAATTAATTAACGATCCTTCACTAGGGAGAAACATTTTTCAAAAGCTAGAATAACCAATCAAAATCCAAGTATAGGAAGATTCAAAAGCTTGACAACGAAATCATGTTATAATAGCTATTCAGATCTTTAAAACACGGGTAATATTAAAAAGAATTCATACTAACCAATAATTATAAAATTATATGATAAAATTTAATATTAAAATTAATATATATATATATATATATATATATATATATATTAAAATTAATATATATATATATATATATATATATATATATATATATATATATATATATAAAGGGTGTTCCAATAACTTGGGCCGATTTTAAATGTGAATTGATTTTTTTCTTTTCTTTCAGATTTGGCGGACGCATAATTGCTATGACATAATAACATGATTCAATAGAGAAATAGATAAATTTTCGCCAGTAACATTGATTTATTTACTGCTCACTTTGATCCGTCATAATGAAACACCCTTTATAAATATATTTGTTTTCACTCTCGCGTGGTCATATATGACGTCATGAGCTACGGAGCGATTTTCGCTTCCAGGTCTCCTATGCACGTCTTTCTCGTTGCTTGGAAATCTTCCATGTAAACTGTTATGATGTTGATTTGGTGTTAGTAGAGACAAACGCCAAATAACACGTAACAATAAAAAGGGTTTTAATAGGTTGGTAAAAAGGTACAGAAATCGCCTGAGTAGTCAATAACTAGCTCAGCTAAGAACTTCTCTGTCTATCTGTCTCTTTCGATGTCAACTGACATGCCACTATTTAAAGTCTTTGTTCACAGACGCAGACAAGTTCATCTTCAAGAGGGGTGGTAGGTTTCCGACACAACATAAACAAAAACAGATTATCATTATTGTTTTGCCCGAGTATTGTTTAATATATTGTAATGTAATTGTCATTTTTAATCATGTGTTATGTAAGCCGAAAGCTTAGATAGGATTAAAAAATATGTATCAATATTGTGATTTTCTTTCTTCTTTTAATGATAATGTTATTAAGCTTATCAGACGATATGAAAAGAATTTACATAAAATAAATAGACAAAACTTGTCTATATTATTTAATGAAACATGCATCGATATATATATGTGTGTGCATGTGTGCGTGTGTCTGTCTGTCTTTGTGTGTGTGTGTGTATGTATGCATAGTGGGTGTATGCGATAATACACTAACGTTTTGGTAAGTTGCTTAACACGCGTGATTCAAATGCCGTACGGATGTTTGACGCAATTCTTTCTGAGTCAATGAACGAATAAATCTAAGAGAAGAAAAAAAAATCGACGGTAAGTAGGGAATCTACATTTTACGTACTCAGGAGTAAATATTTAAAATGTAATTTCGCACTATATTAATTTTTAAACATGTGCAAAAGTTGCTAACCTCACTTTTGACAACAGGAGTCAG